ATCTGGATTTCTGTCATCCAGGCTTTGGTGTTGAAAATGTAGCGAGCATACACTTCTGGTTTAAAATCACTTTCAAAACAGCAGGGTGGTTTGATTTGCCAATTACAATTCACTCAGTGTCAGATAGGCCTACTAATCACCACCAATACCCTGCTGATCGATCATTAATCTGGATTAGCAGACCTTGTCTCGTGTCAAGACACGTGGGACACTCGCGATTCACTTCACACGGTCAGCGGAAGATCAAAGCTTCGAGCGGATAAGTGAGTCAATTTTGTGTTGATTTAGCCGGTTGGTTTGTAAAATTTAACGTCCGGGAACGGAAACCGCATATCCGTTATAGACAGTCACTTTTATAATGTAAGAGATTGTTTTTTATGATAATTTACTGGAAGGCGAGGTTTCCGGATATCTGGGGTCCGGGTATCCGGGGTCTCACTTTAAATAATTGGGAACCGATGACATGTGGCAACCAGGTCAGCAAGGCTGACCACCCGATCCCGTTAATCGCCTCTTACGACAAGCATGGGATGCTGAAGACCAATTTTTACCCGGATCTTCACAGGTCGAATTCAATAGGAAGATAGTCTCTACAAGGAAAGTTCCAAAGGAGCTTCACTTCCCCAAAATGTTTGAATTTCATACATAAATTTAAATCATGAAACATGTCTAACTTCCATTTAGGATTGTGTATCATTCACAAAATTTTCCAAACATGCAGATGAAACAACTCTCATTTCACACTACAAGTTTTAGAAAAACCAAAATGGTGCTGCCCAACAGTAAAACACAAACTAACAAATACTAGAGAGTGAGTGAGCGAGTATGATTTTAGCAATATTCCAGCAATATCACGTTGGGGGACACCAGAAATGGGCTTCACTCATTGTACCCATGTGGGGACTCAAACCCGGATTTTCAGCACCACTACGCTACCCCACCGCCCCAACAGAAATACTAAATGGACATTAAAAGTATTGTTCTTGAATAAACATGATTATCATATTACAGTTTTATCCTGTTCAGGAATTATCAGATTAAACTGTTCTCCCTTTTAAACAGACCCAACACATGAAAAATAGTGCATCAGCACTGTAGCTCACCTGAATATGAAAAAATATAAAATCACCAAAAAGACAGACATTAAAAGAGGATGCTGTCATCATTGTTATTCAAACATTTTCTGTATAAACAAAGACGACAATACTGTTAAGTATGTCAAAAAATTCAAAATCAACCATCCACAACCTGACCATATCTGCAAGAATGAATGTCCTTTAGTAGAACATTGATAAAATTCTTAATAGCTGACTTAAAATCTTTGGAAAATTTACATCTTCTAAGGAAATAATATTTTTGGGGGTTGTTGCCTCACAGCAATGTTCCAGTTATATAAAGGCGGTGTGGACCAGACAATCCAGTGACTGATGGCATGAGCATCTATATACACAACTTGGATATGATTACCTACATCAAGCAATTAATAACTTTCTAATGCAATACAAATTTTCCAATTGTTTCACGAAAAACGAATGTTCTAAGGTTCAAGTAATTCATTTTGAGAGAATGTAAGAAAATTACAGTATATTTTGGGCAGAAATTGTTGAGGAAATCCGATTCTTCTAAAGCTATTCAGACTATTCAGACAAGGAACAAGCATGGGACGTTTCCGTTTCATTGGGCCAGTGCCCTGGGGATGTTTTATTTTTCGATCTTTCAGATACAGTGATCTAACAGCAACAGTGGTGTTTTCATTTACTTCATAATGCTCAAACATGTGTTGCGAAGTAATCATATATCTCCACATGTTTCACTCATGGCGTAATGAATATGTACAGTGGGTATTCTCACAATAATATATGGTTCAGTGGTTGTATATTTATGTTCAGGTAGGCATTAACTTGCCTGCCAAATATGATTCTTTTCTGATGTATTTTAAACTTCCTATGTGTTATGAGAGTGTGTTTTTTGTAATAACATTGATTAAGTGATAGATATTATGGGTCACAATGTTTAAAGTTTTGAGTGTGGGTTGCGGCCCCCATCTTGCATCATGTATGGTCAATGGCAATAGTATTTTTAGCGGTACGCCTTTTTGATAGCGCTCCAGAGTTGCCTCCCTTGGTTTTATTTTGTTTTGACTCCCAGTCGTATGTTCGAGAATATAGCCTAATGTTCTGAGTGGATAGTGATGCTGCCCACCTTTACTAGAATGCTTGAGAACTGTGTAAGAACTATGTAGAGGCTGGTTGTTGTGTTGTGCGACACAGAATCTTTATTACATGACTGGATTTGTGTACATCTGTCTACCGTCACTAAGCTGATATACATCTGTCTGCGATCGTCGAGGTTACTCAACATCGTCATGACTGACCGTGCTTGTCTATATTCAACTGTTGTAAACTACCTTCAATAAGTATATCTGCTCTCACTGTAAATGTCAAGACTCAGGTGAGTTGATATCTTATATTTGTGACCCAATATTTTAGATTTGTGACTCAATTGCATTGTACTAGATATCTGTATTGTCATTCATTGTACCTTGCTCATTGTTTGTTCAATATATCATTGAATATATTAGACTTGTCTGTGTTATATTCAAAGGGGACTCTTAAACCTTTTGTCACGGCAAATTATTAACCGTAACAAATGTGCCTACATGTTCACATACACTTTAGTTCAGTGATATCACATATTTGGGCGAAGATCCAGGTTAGAATTGATCATCAGCAACCCATGCTTGTCGTTAGAGGCAACTAATGGGATTGTGTGGTCAGCCTCGCTGACTTGGTTGACACATGTCATCATATCCCAACTGCGTAGATTGATGCTCATGCTGTTAATCACTGGATTAATCACCCTAATGTGTTTGTTTGTTGTTTAATGCCCCACTCAGCAATATTTCTGCTGTAGGGCATTGGTCTGTAAATAATCGAGTCTGGACCAGACAATCCAGTGATCGACTGTGTACCAAAGAGGTCAGTTACTGGTTCATGAAGAACTATGGCCCTAAACAAAGGATCATATCTTCATTTATTCCACCATTAAATTACTGGTAAAGTTAAAATTATGACACCAATGAACAGCGTAACAAAGACAACCGAATACCATGTTATTCCGATGACATGTCCTTATCTCGACTATTCCAAACAGATATAGTAACACATAAAATAATCGGGAAAAACCTGTTCAGAAGGCCTCTAAATCAGTTCAAAACCTGTTCACATATATATCTTTTGTTGCCCACCAGGGCCCCGTTTCACAAAGCTCTCGTAAGCCTTGGGTCTCGTAACTTTTCTCGTAGCATTCGTACTTCCTATATAACAGTATAGGAGGTACGACTGCTGCAAGAAAAGTTTTTTACAAGATCTTAAGCTTACTAGAGGTTTGTGAAACGGGGCCTAGTGCTCAAAAGAAATTGATCTGTTTATTATGGCAATTTTCAGATGCTTCTGAACCATTCACTTTCACACTAATTGCATGAAAAACTGTAAAGAAATTACTTTTATAATCCACATTTTTATCCTTAAATATACCAAAAAATCGTCTGAATATATCCTGTCTGTTTGTAATGTCATATCCTTGTGTCATGTAAATTCGATCACTTAAGAACTGTCGCTGAATTTTCAAAGTTATATTCATATACTCTTATTTTCAAATCTCTTACCTCTAAACTTGTTTATTTATGTCAAACATTTCCAAAATCCAGGTATTTTTACTGCTTTTCACAATCGCGGCATGGCCGCCCTCTCACTGTCAACACAAGTGACCCAGAAAGCTACGTCACATAAGTTCGATCATATGATTGGCTGGCTTGTCACGTAAACAGGATGATTTGTAAGGACGATTTCTTGTGTCAAATTCAGAGTTAGAGCAGTCCCAAGTAATTTTATGGTATTTATGTCCATGAAACGTTCATTTTACGTTTCAATACTTCTAAAAACGATGAAAAGTCACAAATATTCAGCTTATTTAGAAGTATTATGCAGGGAATTATTCTTCAGGCTCATCGTGACAGGCATCAAACCTCAGAATGTAGACAAACACCACGAACTGGCTTGCAGAAACGTAAATGCGTTCTGTGCTGACATGTAGGGTGGGTACACTGTGCCAAGGTTGTATTTATCAATGAGGCAATAGCTCGAACTTCATCAGGTACAAATTCACGGAAATTCTCAAAAAGCATTAAGTTCTCTATAAGAAATGGCCCTTACTTGTTTCCAAAGTTTTAAATTTTGACAAGGATATCGATCACGTGACTGGACATGTCACAATTAGACCAGCAACGTAAACAAACAGAAGACAGGGGTGCTGTCAATTTACAACGTGTGAAATAAGTACTGTTTACATTTTATTGGAGCTGATAAAGTTACATTATTCATCTAGGGTTAAAAAGTAGTTGTTTGCTGAATATGAGCTATAACTTACGTTTGGTAACTTGACACGAAACATTTTCCGGTCCAAACGAATAAAAGTGGTGTCACCAGAAGATCAAAGCTGCAGATATCGTAAGTTATCGCTACGTATTGCGACAATTACCATTCAAAATGGGCGATCGAAGTTACATGACGATCGAACTTATGTGACTTGACGATATATGTATAGCATCAGATATCACAATTTAAAATGTACATCAATTCAGTAAGATATATTGTGAGATCATATGTAAAGTTTACCAAAGTCATACCTTTTTAATATTGTTGTCTAAAAAAAGTTACTGACATATGTTTTTAGTTATTCATACAAGAATACATATCGATATATATATATATATATATATATATAGTACATCTCGCAACGTCACTTGCAAGGGTGAAACACATTATGAGATAACACACAAAGTTCGTTCACTGTAACCAATTCATAAGATGAAAGAAACTATAAACTATGATAAACTCCAGAGACCACATACCGGTACATGGTCTCTGATGGTCAGAAGATAAGTTGTCAGAAGATTATTTTCTACGAATACAGTTATACATAAAGCATGGGTCAATTACCTGTAAACTGTGGCCGGATAAATACAGTATGTCATGTTTCACTGAGACGAAACGTGTATCGCTTCAGGACAACCCCTAGCTGCAGTACATCGCCATGTCTACAGCTGTCACCATCAGCTGATAAGAGTTATCCCTTGTTACGTGACCTCGCGTCCGGATCAGAAAGAGTCCTATCGGAAATTCTTTCATGTTTGGAAAATGAATACGACACGTTTTATGGATAACAACTTCGGTAAGAGTTCCTCCCGTTCCCCCCATCCCAAATAATATTAATAAATATACTAAAATTTAAGTTAGGGTTAGGTTTAGGGTTGGGGGAACGGAAGGAACTCTTTCCACAACTTATTTTCATTCTTTTTCACGATGTTTCAGAGCTATTTCCTGCTCCTTTGTGGGATGAAAATTCGTGAAAAAAAATTAAAAGAAGTGTTGTTATCCACAAAACGTGTCATGTATTCATCTTCGTCCAACTTCTAAATGCCTTTCTACAGAGACCATATATATAATAGATATGGTCTCTGCTTTCTACTATGGTCTCTGCTTTCAAGAACAACATTTGAATGTGACACTCCCGAAATTATGTACCTGATTCAAGTGGAATTATTCAGTAAATCATATTCTACCTTGTAGTAGTGATCTATTATCTTTGATATCTTACAAACGCATCTCACCTTTCACCAGCTTGTAGATCGAGTTATGTACAGTTATCTGCTGTTGAGTGAGTTCACGTCCGGGTTAGAATGAGTCCGGTCGGATAATGCTTCACTTGTGCCAGACGATCAGCCTGCATTTTGGTTCCCGGGGTCTGCTGCGGTACGCTTCGACACACAGGGCCTATTCGATTATGCTAAACCGGTTTTGGTTTCTGGAAAACCATGCGCTCGATTATGTCGAAACCATCTCCGAGGCAGGTTTCGTAGTTTCGTTTTCTCATAAAAAAAACATGGCGGAAACCACCAGGCTGAGCTGCATTTGCAAGCGTCAAGTTCAGCTGATCTTGGTGGCAAAATAGAGCAGCAGTTTCTGTAATCAAAATAATGATAAAAATCAACTGAGAACTAGGAAAATATTATCTAAAACCCCAGCTGTGTGACGAATAATAGAGTCTAGACCAGAAAAGTCAGTGATTGATATCGTGCGCACCGACATACGCAATTGGATACAATGACATGTATCAACCAAGTCAGCGAGCTTCACACACACACACACACACATGCACACACTCACTCACGCATGCGCGCGGGATCCTCTTATGACAGGCACGTGTTGCTGTAGACCAATGCTAACCTGGATCTTCTCGGATCTTCACTATCTCCAGACGAGTCTCTGAATGTCTCTGTATATTCTGTAAGACGTTAACGACGTTTAACCCGACCACGTTAACCTGTATCGTGTAAACAATAATTACTAACTAGGAAAGGTTGGCTGAAGGATACATTGACTTAACACCAGAAAATATTATTTTTGGTTTTAAGGGGAAGAAATAATAATCCACTTAATGCCATGGTGAAACAAAATATTTACAATATGAGCAGAAAAGGGAGAAAACCTAATTTTAAAGCATTCAAAAAGAAATATTAAGTTATTATCAAGCATGCAAATTTATCGCCTTTATAAACAGCAATCAGTCCATTTTTTTACATTTTGGTCCTCTTTCCACACGCTATTTTTAGACTTGTAGCTCAATATTTAATTGTAAACCTTAAAGAGGACACTTTAATGTAAAATGATTTATGCCTTGCGGGTGATTAGAAACAGTCAAACATGCAGTAGATGTTTTCATACACTGTACTATGTATACTTATGTATATGTAAACATCTGTTGAAAAATAATCGGTAATGTTAAATGACTTATACCTTGCATGTTACCAGAGGTAGTCAAACATACACAAGTTGTAATTCATATACAATACGAAACAACATTATGTACCGATGCCTATAACTTATGTATTATGTAGTTATGCCTACTTATCTATATGTAATATCTGCAAAGAATGAATGGCCAATGTAACCCCGACTAAGGCTCTATGCCAAACCTGTAAATACTATCTATTTATGTATGCCTTGTATATGTGAACATCTACTCATAATTATAATGTCATGTAAACATGTACTGGGAAATAAAAACGTAAAAAAAAAAAAAAATTACTTACTAACTAAACTCATGGGCAAAAGAAAGTATAGGACTGGAAAAATTATTTTTTCACTGTCATTGACATGTTTATGAGAATAAGACATGCTGGCAGTGTTGGCCCCACTACTGGGAAGGGAAATACACCGCCAAAACGCAACACGTTCGAAAGGTGAGAGTGATGACGTCACAAATGTGGAAAACATGTTCCATGCTCCTAGCACATAATGCACGAGCAAAGTTTCGGTTTAAATGCGATGCATCAGTCCCGTCATATCACAGCTGCTGAAAACACATTAAAACTATGCCACGACTGACGCCAGAACAGAGAGAGAGAGGGCCATAGGGATGTCCGATATGGGAGCGACGAACATCAGAATTGAAAGAAGATTTGGTTGTACGCCACTGACGATAGCAAGACTCCTCCAACGATTCAGACAGACAGGTCGAACACAGGACAGGCCGAAGAGTGGACGTCCACGTGTAACCAGCACACGTGAAGATCACCATATACGCCTGATACACCTCCGAAATCGATTTGTTACGGCAACGTCAACGGCCGAAACAGCGTTGGGACGTCGCATCAGTCGAAGGGCTGTCCTCAGACGTTTGAGAGCAGGTGGAATACGTTGCTATCGACCATTCCTTGGAATGAGATTAACTCAACAACATCGACTTGAAAGACTGCAATGGGTAAGACGAGTATACCGCTGGCAAGTGCGTGATTGGCGTGGGGTCCTCTTCACCGAAATCAAGTCTTGCAGCCTGTTGTCTTTCTTTTCTTGAACAATCAACCAAATGGTGTATTGTTTCAGCAAGACAATGCCCATACAGCAATAGCGACGAGAAACTGTCTTCATCAGAATAACGTTAATGTTCTACCCTGGCCTTCTCGATCACCAGATATGAATCCGATCGAGCATTTGTGGGATCATATGGGGAGACAAATTCGTGGTCGTCATCACCCTCCACAGACAAGAAAAGAGTTGGAAGTGGCACTGAGGGACAAATGGCAGCGACTGCCAAATGCCGTCATCCGACGCTTGACGTCATCGATGCGACGACGTGCACGAGCGTGCATCGCGGCTGCTGGCGGACGCACACGCTACTGACGGTGTGATCGTTCTGGAACAAACTTTTCTGTCTTTTGTGTGCGCAATTCGTCAAAGGAATATAATTGTAACTTTGATATTTACCCCCTGACTGTTTGAATGTCAATGTCACCTTTCGGTTCTTTCAACCAGGTAATGATTTGAACACACAGCAAAGTACAAATGAATTTGCTACAAATTACATCTATTACATAATCCAAATCTTGTGTTGTTTCTGTTTTACTGATCTTCAAAATGACCTATACTTTCTTTTGCCCATGAGTTTAAAAGTCAAACAGGTTTGATATTATATCAAAATGACAAAAATAATATTATGGATTAAGAACCCTTTAATACTGGCGTGTGTAAACGAGATGCCTTAAGCCTAATATGTTAAATGGGAAATGGAAACACTTAAATTTGTTTTGCTTTGGAGACACGTTGCACAAAACGATATTATCGCAAAGACTGTCGTAACTCTACACTACATTGAATTACCACAGTCAACGCTAATTCCGCTTTGTGCAACAGGTCCTCAGTTGTTATTGGTTTCTAACGCGATTCGCTCTGTTTAATTGTTAGAACGCACACCTGCGTTCGTGTGTAAATATGTGTGTCTGCGTCACTTTTGGGTTTTCTTCCAAGTGTAGCTGTCATGCCGTGGCGTAACTCATATAATGTTCAACCAGCGTTAAACCAAACACACTCATTCTGTGTGATAAAAGTACGTCTTTGTGTAACTCCGTCCCAACAGCAGATTCAACATTTTTGGGTTCGTCAACCTCCACCTATGACATTGTATTTGTTTTTGGACTTACCCAACAACATCAAACACATGTTACAATTGGAATTACACTTTCATTCCTTGTAAAGTCCCTATATGTCCACCAGGATTCGAACCCACACTTTCAGAGTGAGGTACACAAAGTCAGTGATCTAACCCACTCAGCCACCACATGTTCCAAGAGCGTCTCTGACGACACTCACTAGGAAAGTGTTCAGTCCCAGAAATAATGGTATCTGATGTATGAATTAGTATGTTCATATAAATGCAACAGCATGTCACAAACGAACATGTATATGTTATCTTGAGAATGAATTTTTTTGATTTGAATTGGAGAAAGAGTGTGTTAAAATAGTCGAAGAAACGAAACCAAGCAGTTGAAGTTCCAATTGCACGAAATTTCCAAGAAGCATGTCATCATCGACTAAAATGGACAGCAATGTTCACTGAAATTGGCCTTACAACCAGACGCTCATAATGTCCACTTAATGCACTGGATATAAGTGCAAAAGTCAGAAATAAATCTCTGTTCATCATTCTGGAACAAGTTCAACATGCCGTGCTTCGGGGAGAAATGACAGATGAGGAGATATTGGTATGCTTCGGTCTGTTTTGTTCAGCAAAACAGCCAGTCTCCATTCGTAACTACTCGTCCCTTTCCGTAACCTGAAAGTAGACTCGTAACCCTCTAGTAGCCATGTCCGGGAGAAATATTCCCCCAGCAAATCAGAATGCGCGTATGTAAAGAAGAAATTGGGTTAAAGTAGGTCTTTGAAATATTTTTCATTTCGGCTTGCATAATTTTTTTCCCGGACACTTCAAGCATATTCTAATTATTGCATAGTCCTCCTGGGTTTCCTGAATTTTATAACCAGGATATATTAACATTATGGCGTAGGAAAGTATTTAAGCATGTTAAACATACCCTTTGAGGTAATTTCCTTGGCGTGGATGCCATGTGTGTTTTCAAAGTAAACTAGAGTTATAGTTTGGCATGAAATGCATGTGGACCCGGTTTTTTGTAAATATCTCTTCATCCAATGACCCAATCGATCTCAAACTGTGCAAGTCGATGTTTTGTCAGACAACCTAATCACATTGTAAATCACCGATTTTATGCATTTGTATTAAAGAATCTGTCTATGTAACTGT